GCAGGGCATTCCATATTACAAGTGTCAATGCAACTGGTATCCAGTTCAAAAATTGAAGGTCCAGGTATTGATGATTACGGATGTGTTTCTTCTACATATGACATGGCCAGATGTCTCTGATAACAGCGCAGCAGTGGAGATCATGCCATTGATTGAAGCCGTAGTACGGGAGAGAGAAATCTGAACTGAAAATGTGATGCCAATAGTTCAGAGGTTCATCATAGTGATCGGCTGCATCAGCGAAAAAGATATTTCAGGGTCGATGAATGAAGATAGGGCAAGAAATATGGTTTTTTTGCTAACAAATTTTCTGATATATCTGAGCCTTGCATCTTTTTTCATTTCAGGGATTTATGTCAAAAATCCTGCTCATCGAACCCGATTGGCAACACAAAGATAAAGAATTACCAGACAAGTTTGTAGCTAAGGTGTGTTCTGAAACTTTAAGCCATCAGTGACCCCAAAAATCTATTCAACTTATGCGGTGGTTTTATATAGATTCAAGGTGAAAAATCTAGCAATTCACCAACTCCGATTGGAAAACTTTTACAATGAGCGTTTTTACAACGTAGTAATTACTTCACGATATCATTTCCGTCACATCGTAGCACACTCTACGCATTTTCAGATTCTAACCCAACTTGCTATGCAGAAACTCACGGCAGAGGTTGCAGAACAGAAGAAAATAAAGAACGTATTCAGCGATCCCGAATTCATGGCTACTCTGGAAAAACGTCAGAAAAAGGCAAGCACTTTGAAATCCTGCTGATACCCCTCATGTGTTTATAGCACTTCATCCGTTCCAAAGTCGTCACTGTAGCCACAAAGCAATGAAATAGTCTTGAAAGAAAACGGTTCCACTTCGACGGATAAGAGAGGACGAAGGGGGTTCCACTTCGACGGCTAACAGAGGACGGTTCCACTTCGACGGATAAGAGAGGACGAAGGGGGAAGTTACAGCTCGACTATTACCCTTTGATTCGTTCTTGCGCTTGCCATATTTCGCTGAAGGTCTACCATACCGCTTACGAACTTGTCAGGGCTACCATAAGCTTATTCTCTACTCATAGAAGCTGCCCTGTAGAAGGATAAAACAAAATTGACAAAATTGAAGACGAATTCAATTCCAGTGTCACAATGCGGAAGTAACAGTCTACAATCATCTGCTCAAGCTTCCTGAAGGAAAAATCGACATTCCGAAGGTAGCTTTTGAGTCGAGTTCAGCAATTTGCACAGTTTGCAGGAAATGCGCACTGGCATGAGCCGGCAGTCGCTTCAGTTTTGACTCGATAAATTGTTAAGTGCTGTTTTAACGCCGCAGTACGTGACGCGAAAGTCTCACAAGGTTGGGGATTTATGGACAAAACTCCATTCTCGGGCGGGACTCGAACCCGTACTTGTGCTTTCCGGGTACCGTGCTTGAACCCTTAAACTGAAGCCTACAGCTTAACGGTTCAGTGCTGATATTGGCCGACCGGCTCAAGACGTTGTACGCGTGCGTGCTGATA